AAGGAAAGGAAAGGAAAGGAAAGGAAAGGAAAGGAAAGGAAAGGAAAGGAAAGGAAAGGAAAGGAAAGGAAAGGAAAGGAAAGGAAAGGAAAGGAGGAAAGGAAAGGAAATCCTTTACTGTGGAGTATAAATTAGCAATGACAACTGGAGTTTGGAATGAGAGCTTCCCAGAAATCAGATCTGCTTGCTGCTGGTGTTGAGAAGTGTCTGGTATTGGAGGAGATGCTGGAAAAAAGAAATTCAGATTTTGATTTTCCCTCCTCCTGTTCATACCCTCACCATGTGGGAGATCTGTGACAGCTCAGAGAGCTGCACTGGTGTGGGTTGTACATCCCACAGGGTGGATTGTGTCTGTGCTCTCCACAGCTGAGCTGGAGGGATACAAACAGGGAAAATGAAGTCAGAATGAGTAAAACAAGGGTTTAAATGAATAAAAGAAGCGTTTAATATGAGCAGTACCCCAGAAGTGGGACCCAACATCTGACTAAGCATCAGCTCATCTGGAGAGTCAGGAGTTTTCCACAGAGGCTCAAAATCAGCAACAATTCTGCACAGGGAGCTCCAGCACTGGCCAAAGGAGGGGACAAATGCAAGGGCTTTTAGGGATGTAAATCAGATCCTACCACCTAAACCCCACTCTGACTGTTTTGTTTTGTTTGGCCTCATCACTCCAAAAAGAAACAGTGGAAAAGTGCAGCTAGACACCAGCAATATGAAATTCAGTGATCTGTGTGGATAAGGTGTTGTCTGGAGCATCTGCAGGGACTGTTATTTGTTGGCTTCCCTTCTCAGTAAGAAGCCAACCTTTTCAAAAGTCTTTTTATCTTTTTCAAAAGCACATTATCAAAAGACTCTTGACCTTTTTCAAAGGCTGGTGTCAGCAGAACATTTAGGACCATTTGATTTTCCTGCAATAAATGACCATGGCAAAGGCTCAAAAAGAAATTGGGTAAAGGGCAGCAACAACATCATGAAGAGACCATCAGGAAGTTGCCTGTATTGGTCCTTTGGGGATCTTTCTGGATTTCCTGTTTTATTTTAATTCTCCTGTTTCTAAGAAACAGTTCAAAATAAGAATGGAAAAAACCAAGAACCTCTTGCTTGGGATTGGATGTGCCTTTGAGGAGTGGAGGAAGGCTTGTACAGGAAAACTGCAGTTTTCACTAGGAATTCCTTGGGATGAAGAGAGTGCTTGCCAGAAATTGAACTCCCCTCTTAGTTCCCAGAGCCCTGCAGGGTGATGTTGAATTTGGACATAATATCTCTGCTTCAGTAGTTTGTGATTTTCACTTATGATCTGTGAGAACTGGCACCTTGGGAAAACACCAGGAATGGTTTCAGTTGCAGTGTTCTCATACCTTTGCTGTCTTCTGAATTCATATTCTGTAAGAAAAAACTATTAATAAATCCCTTTAAATACTCATTGTCTGTAGATGTGTTTGTTATTTATTTCTCCTCTTCTGAGTGGGTTGCTCCAGTCATCACAGAGGTAGGATAAGTTGATTTGCCTTGTAAATAATCTGTCCTGTCAGTCTTTTCTTGAACCTGTGAAATGTCTATGCTGTTTCAAGTCCAGCACAGAGTGTTCATCTCTCTTTCATTTTGGTCTGTACCAGGAAATGCCTACAGAGAATGCCTGGGCAATGGGACATGGGCTTCCAAGATAAACTACTCTCAGTGCGAGCCTATTCTGGATGACAAGGTCTGTATTTTCCCCTTCATTCTTCCCAATGACATTTCTCAGCATAAATGAATGCAAAACTAAACTTAAGGTTAACGTGCTAATTTGGGACCTCTGGGAGAGATTCCATTTCTGCCTCTGCAACAAAACCTCCCTGTGAATGGAGGCAAATCACTTCTCCTCTCTCCATATCCCCTGCTCACATGTTTTTTTTAAAAAGGATGCTTTATCTCGCTCTGTCCCTGATGATGTGTGTTTATGCAGATTTTTCCTAGCTTTGTTCAGAGCCTACAGCTGCTACAGTAAATGTTAGCAATAATAACAATAAGACCTAAAGCCTCTTTGGCACTAAAAAATAAGTTCAACCAGCTGATTCCACCCTATATCTGCCCATTCTGAGATCTCATCAACAGCTGACCTTTGTAGATCTCAATGTCATTTCTCCTTAGGCAAATATGTAAAGGGGCAGCAACAGAAAAAATACATTAAAAGTAGACTCAGGACCCAGCTGTCTTAAAGAAATTGAACCAGTCTTACATGATATAAGAGTTATCAGATTTAAATTAGCATATGGGATTAAGTTCCTTCAGAAGGGCTGTGAGGAATTATGCAAAGCCCTTTTCTTTTCAGATGTCTCAGAGACATCATAGACATTCACCCTCACACAGTTTAAGGCTTCAAGCCCTTCATACTCTTCCTCTTCTCCTGTGTTGAGTGCTGTGGTGGGACACAACCCCACAAAGGTGTTGTGTTGCTTCTGTCTCTGTGTCTGGAGTGGCTTTTCTCTCCAGGGTGGAGCCCAGCAGCTCAGACTGGTTTGCTCTGGGCTTCATTCAACTCATTCTGTCCTTGTAGTTGTGCTGTGCCAGGGACAGAGAGGAGGAAGAGGAGATCCCACATTTGGTACTCAGGGACTCTCTGTGGTGGTCCCAAAGAGCCAGGATGTGCTTTGGCTGTGGTGCAGCATCCATCCTGCAAGATCCACGTGCTTGGTCAGTCTGGGTTTTCTCCAGTGAATCACAAAACAAGTAACAACACACCAGCTGCTGAGGAGGACCTGTTCTTACCCCCTGGCTAGTTTAATCCCTCCTCCTTTTCCTAGAGGCTTCTAGGAATTGAGAAAAGTTGTGCCAGTACCTTTCTGCCACCCAGAGGGACATTCAAGGTGTTCTAGCACGGTGGAGGGGCTCCCAAGGCAATCTAGGCCAACCTAAGCTGGGAGCACCCCAGTGCAGCCCCTCCTTACCACTCATTCCCATTTAAAATGAAAAGCTAACTTGCTGCTGGGTCATTTTTTTGGATGAATCAGGTCCCTAAACCATCTCAGTGCATCGTTGCAGGAGTGCTGTGGGGCTGGGAGGGACAGAGTGACCATGTCCTACAAGAGAGCAAGAGAGGGGCTGTGGAGCCAGGGCTGATGTGGAGAATGGGGAGCAGAGCTGGGCCAAGACTCGATATCTGTGGTGTGGTTTGGGTGGTACAGAAACCTCAGCTGGGAGCAGTGAGCTGCAGCCACTCCTTTACATGTTTGCACAGCTCCCAGCAGTGGCTGGCTGTGCACAAGCAAATACAGAGAGGTTTTATTTGAAGAGGCTGGAGAAGTGTTGTGAGCAGAGGACAGGATTGTTCCCTTTATTCTGTTTTTGCTTTTAAAAACTTTGCAGCTATGGTGATAGCTTAAAACTCCTTAAATAGCTGTTTCTTAAACAGATGAAAGTGCAGATGTTCCCTCACTCTTGCTTACAGAGGCTTAAAAACTCATTTATTGCATCTTTAAAGATTTGTGACAAGCTTTGCAAATACTAATATTTGTGAATATTTTTGAAATCTCTCATAATGCTCAGTGTTACAGATGAATACTTTGTGATCTCAAAAAAAAAAAATAGAAAAAAGGAACAATCCCCACAGATTTGCTCCATTTTGATTAAAGGTGAGATTCAGGCACACAAGTGGGTCTATTGTTATTTACTGAGTTTAGCAGATGCTAAACATCAGCTTGGGTGTTATGCCCTGTGACTTGTGTTTATTTTTAATCCAGACAAACCAACACTGCTTTTAAGCTTGACCACTCACAGGCAGAGTGCTAAAGAATCACATGGTTTTAATTTGGTCATTGATAACAGGGGATAGGAACAGGACTTTTCAACATCAATGGCAGAGTTTTGGTAATGTAGCAATAGAAATTTTAGGGTTTTTTCAGCTGTGGGTCAGTCTTAGGGGGCATCAGCTCAGTAACATCCATTCCCTGGGTATTAATGCATCATTGCTCTGCTTGTGGTTGAGACCTGTGGCAGTGGCTAATAAAACTCTGCTCTGGGATTGATTTGCTGCTAGATTCCCACTCTGAGATCTAGTTCCTTAAATGTAGTTGTGTGGTGTCGTTTAAAATGTCTCGGTGTCTCCAGACTGTCCTTTGGAATACCTGTGTCCTTCTTGTCCAGAGAAGGGAACAGAGCTGGAGAAGGCTCTGGAGCACCAGGAAAGGCTGAGGGAGCTGGGAAGGGGCTCAGCCTGGAGAAAAGGAGGCTCAGGGTGGAATTTATGGCTCTGCACAGCTCCTGACAGGAGGGGACACCTGTAGGGTCGGGCTCTGCTCCCAGGGGACAGGGACAGGACCAAAGAAAATGGCCTCAGGTTGTGTCAGGGGAGGTTTAGGCTGGGTATTAGTGAAAATTTCTTCTCTGAAAGGATTTTCAGGCATTTCCCAGGACAGTGGTGGAGTCGCCATCCCTGAAAGTGTTCAGAAAACTTGTGGATGTGGCACCTGGGGACAAAATTTAGTGGTGAACAGGGTGCTGCTGAGGGAATGGTTGGAGTCAATGATCTTAGAGGTCTTTTCCAACCTTAAAAATTCTGATTCAGCCATGGAGGTCCCACCAGGAGCAGCTGGGAGTCACAAATGTCCCCAGTGCACCCCAGGGGACACAGGGTGCCTGTGTGTGCCCAGCTGCTGCTAACCCTTGCCTTGGGTGGGTACCCGAGTGTTGGTGTCCTCATGTCAGGCTCAATCTCAGCCTCTGAACAACCAGTTGGCTCCTCCTTCAGACACAGGAGCAAGACACAGACATAATTTTGATCCAGCTGGCTGTTTGGTGGCACAATGTGGGACAAATGGAAAGGTTCTCCTCAGCCTACAAGCTCCTGTGTTGAACGGGCCTTCGCCGCGTCCGACACAAATCTCTGCTCTTCTTAGAAGAAAAGTCAGCACCTCAGGCAGCAAAAGATACATCTTAGCCTCCAAAAAGAGCTGTAAATCAGGAACTTTGCTGTTGTGGTCTCTGGCAGCTGTACATGGATTTGCTTCTGCTGATGTTTTGAGGTGGCTTCAAGCTGAGTAGCTGAGTTAGCACCACGCTGGGCTCAGACTAATGGATCCTGCATAGGAGCCCGGTCACATCAGCCACAGCAGCTCCCAGCTGGCTCAGGACGGGAAAGCAGTGAGCTCAGAGTCATCTGGCATCACAAAGACACTTCCCAGTTGCTTCTGAAAGTCTTTGGAGAGGTGTCCTTGAGCTGTGCTGGTGCTGAGATCATCCTGGCACCAGGAGGAAACTGGAAGTGACTGACTGGCAATGGCGTGTGGAGCCTCCCAGGGAGACATGAGCTGTAAACACTGGCAGGACCTGTCAGTAAGTTCTGTTAGAGGAAACAAGATCCTTGTCAGATGCTCTGAGAGTGCTGTTATTAGGTGGTTATTGATTCAAACCACTCGCTGGATGGTTTAGGGCAAGTTTAGCAGTCACGTTCCAGCTGAAGCAAGGGGAAAAGTGCCCTGGGCAGAATGAGTCTGTCATTAGCCTGCCTGTGGGGAGCCCACCTCACCTTAGATGTGCAAAGCCAGAGCAGGTAAAAACATTGTGGTTCATTCCTCAGTGCAGAAACTCTGGAGACACTCCTGCCCCACCTGGTGCGACATGATTGTCATGTCTAATGTCATGGAATGGGATTGCAGTGGTGTGACCTGCTGTGGCCAGGGGGTAAAACCATCTCTGGATTCCCCATACTTGGATTCCACATCCCTGGATTCCCCATCCCTGCATTCCCCATCCTTGGAAGTGTTCCAGGTCAGGGGCTCTGAACAACCTGGTCTAGTAGTTGTCACTCCTTACCATGGCAGGAATCATCATTAAGGTCCCTTCTGCCCCAAAACTTTCCAGGATTCTGTGATCTCCTTCTCCAACTCATTTCAAATCTAGCAACCCTCCTCCTAAGCCTGAACAGCATTTAAATCTTTATTTTAATGAAGTGAATCTTCCTGAAAACAGAAGGATATTGGGTAACAGGAGAAGGTTGTTGACATTTTAGATGTATTGGTGTCCAAGAGGGTGAGCCAGAAAAGAGCTGTGCAAGTCTTTTACATGAGCTGAGCTTTGTGGAGCAAACACATGATTTTCTGGGCACGTGCTTTTCAGCCCTGAAGATGTTGCCTCCCATTCCAGCAGAGATGCAGACTGCATGTAGGCTGGTGGAAAGTGATCTTGCCACCCTGTCAGTTTAGTTTTCCCTAAGCACCCAGGCAGTTCTTGTTTCTGTGATGTTTGAATTTGCCTTCAGGAAACCTTGTTAGCATCAGAAGCAGAAAATATGAAAGTCGTGCCTGTTTTTTCCTTCAGCATCGGTGTATCAAGCAGGAGCGTTATAATTTTATTTTTCCAGTTAATCTCATGTTTTGAACCACACCTGCTTAAAACTTGAGTGGAGTTCAATTAGTGGTCAGGAGCCAGAGGAGGGTTGGACTTAAAGAGCAGGAGCCTCGTGCTAGAAAAACACAAGGTTTGCCAACTTCCAGGAGAATTCTAGCCCTAAATGAGCAAGTCTGAAAACAGTTTTTAGTCAGATGGGTTGGGTTTTGATAGTGCTGTGAGAAGCAGAGTTGGATTCAATGATCCTTTTGGATCCCTTGAGATGTTCTGTGATCCTCTGGCTCTGTCAATTAAGCAGGAGAGTCAATGAGCCCTGCAGCTCGCCAGGGCATTACTGAATAAAACAGCATTGCACAGGTAGGCACACCAGGTCAAGTGAATTTTCATTCCCTTCAGGTGTCCCCTCAGCTGAAGGATAAATAAAACACAGTGTGGAATTTGCATTCCACAGCTTCGTTTTGTTGCTTCTTTTTTTCTTTTCACCTCCAGGCGATTCAGAAAATGGGCCCGTGGATGGGGAAATTTATTTTAGGGGATTTTATAATAGACTTAAAAATACTCTGCGTGGTTGAGTTGTGTCCAGAAACAGCACATTACTCTGTGAGCTGAAGATGTAGGCAGGTTTCATCACAAAAATGATTCCATGAATGCTCCCTGGCTCTCTGGCAACATGCTGGAAGATGCTTATCTTCACAGAACAATGGAACAGATGAACCACAGCTGCTGGTTGTAGATTCAGCCAAACATTCATTCACTGACAAATTCTTTTCACTGGAGTAAAATGTTAATGGAAATTGTTAGGGAAAAAAATGAAAAAAAAAAAAAAGAATTTTGACAAAAAATGTTTTAAAATGATGCTATTTGTAGAATTTTACTTCCATATTTTTATCACAAGGGAGGAAATGTAGGTGGTTGGTTTCTACGAGCCTTGTTCTTCTGAAGGAAAGCAACATTCCAATGTGGGGAAAGATTTGCTTAACTTGAAAATAAATAAATATCAAAACTCATAATAAATACATTTTTAAGGAGCATTTAGTCTTCCAGTAGTAAACCTCTTTGTAGCCATCTTCAGTATTTATCTGAATAGTGTCTACCTCTTCCTAGCCATGCAAAGAGAGGAGATGCTTCTCCTTTCTCCAAAGCCAGAAGTAGCCTACCAATAAAGATATTTCTGCAAGGCCAAATTTTGGATCACTAAATCCCTAAATTCACTGATTTAGATTGGGAGCACTTCTGTACTTATTTTTTTTTGTTTACAGGATCAAGAACTTGCCAACAATCTCCCCCACATGCTAGGAAGTAGGCACTAATACAGAAAATTTCACCACATATTTGGGTTGCTGCTAAAAACAACAGGATCTCTGGTTTGTCAGGCTCTCCCAGAACTGAAGGGACACCACTGGGTTCCAGCTCTTTTAGTCTGCTTTGGTTTGAAGGATAAAGATTGTAGCCCGCAGGGAATGTCCCTCTGAGGAAAATCTGCCTGTATGAGAAGGGCTTGTTATTTATCCTTACTGACATTTTTATGTGAAAACCAAGCCATTTGAGTAGGAAAATGGCATAACCTGGCTCATTAAGACTGTGCTGTTTCCCAAGAAAATAATGTTTTATAATTTTTGAAATTCTGAGATGTGTCTTGGTAGGTTTGTCGCCTAAAATGACAAAGGTTTAAAATAAAGAAATCTGAGGAAATGGGGAAAAAAAAAGGGGGGAGGGCAGGGAGAAGAAGGGACAAAATAACTTTTTTTGCAAATATTTGTAAGAAACTGTGACAAACCCCAAATTGAAATGACACCAAGCCTGTACTTGTGTACCTGGGCAATATATTTGCCTTACACAGAGGCATCAGCCCTGCTACTATCATGTCAATATAAAGCTGAGAAAAATAATGATTGTTTTCTGAAGTGTCAACTGTTCCTGAATGCCCGTGCTTGGAGACTGCTGCTGATTTAATGCTGTTATCTCTTTACCTCCAGAGGAAGTATGCGCTCCATTACAAGATTGCTCTCATCATAAACTACCTGGGCCACTGTATTTCAGTAGGGGCCCTTATAGTTGCCTTTATGCTTTTCTTGTGCTTGAGGTGAGTAATGTGTTTGCATGTTTCTAATGTTGGGTGACACTTTCTGGGTTGCTCCAGCCCTCTCCTGACTCTGTCCAGGTGGTGGATGGTCCTAAAAAGTGGTCATGGCTTTTATGTTCCTGAGCACATCCCATGGCTTTGCTCACTAATGAGCTCCTCCTGAGCTGAAGCCTGTTTGGGTCATGGAAAGAACTGAACATGATTTATTGATGCAGCAAAAAAAAAAAAATCAGTGAGCACAGTGTTCTTCATTAAGGGCGAGCAAGATCTGAGTGTGTCAAGTTGCAAGTTTTGAGGGCAAATTTTGTTTTCTCACAAGGCAGAACATGATAATGTCTTGCATTCCCTGACAGCTAAAACCCAGATCTAAACCAAAGGAGGCAGAACGAAATCTTTCCATTTTGCTTTGGGTTAATTTTGTTTTTTTATTTCATTAAAGGGCTTAGAAGTTTTGTTAAGTAAAAAGAGGAACATCATTAGTGGAGCTTAATCCCCAGCAGTGCTCATGAAGTGATGAATACAAAACAAGGAGGCTGCATAGAAACCCTTCCCTGAGCTGGTTCAGGGTGCAGAGGGGAGTTTGGCAAATGGAGATGTCAGTGAAAGCAGAGTTAGGGCTACAGGGAAGAGAAAAAACAGGAGGAAAGCCAAATTAGTGGAAAACAAGTAGATATGGATCAGTCATCCTATGTGTATTCACAGCCTGAATCACAGGAATTTATTTTCATAGGAGTGGCCTGGGGGGTTAATTTCATATTATTTTTTAGATTTCATACCTGGCATTTCTGGCATCATAATTTGTGCTGTGTTGTCCAGGAGAGTTCTACCTGAACTTAAAACCAGCTCCACTGAGTACTGTTCAATGATAACCCTTAAGAAAATACTTGTCCTAATAGCAGAGGAAAAGCTGTGGGTGGAGGACATCCTCCCCCTGCCCAGGAGTACAACAGGATGATTGACAGTGACCTCAGTGCCAGAATTCCTGTTTTTCCTGGAGCAGAGCATCAGTAAAGTCTTAGCTAAGTCTTCTGAGCATTCTTAACAAGGCCTTCTCTAATAACAATAGGAATCTTCTTGCACTCCAGCATCTATGGACAGAATAATCTATGCTAATGGAAACAAAAAAAAGCACCTTAAAATATTAAACGGGAGTTTTTATGATGCATCAGTTTAAACTTTCATTTCAAGTCCTCTACAGTGCATATAAAGCTAATTCCCACAGTGCTTGGAGTCCTGAATTAATTTGCAGTGAATAAAGAATGCAAATTATTCATTGCAGTAACTATATTCCCTGCTTTTATGCTCAGCCTTTTATAAATGCTTCAGTAAATAACAAAAAAACAATTAGGTAGGATGATATAAATGTATCCAGCTTCAAACACGAAGGCAGCCCACCTGAATTCTTCTAAATTGGTCTTCTGTTATTTAAACTTTAAGGTTTAAATTTTGCAGTCAGCTTCAACATCAGAAACAACAACTGAGTAGTGGCAATTAAGAATTTCCCTGTACATGCTGTGAATTAAGATAGTCCATCTCTTCAAATTCACATTGTGTCATGCAAAACATGTCCAGTGTGCAGCCAGAGTTAACCAGCATGGGATTCCTCAGGATCTGTCAATATACATCTGTTTTCCAAAGATCTAGAGATGTTCCAGTAAAAGCAACCCAAATTCATGTTTCATTACAGGTTGTCCCTACCCAATTTGGGGTTATGGACATCTTCATCACATTTATGTCTATAAAGTGCCCCAAGAACAAATCTGGTTTGATAATCAATTTTTATTATTTGGTGGTTTGTTTTTTTTATGCTGTTTTATTTTGGATGGAAGAAGGTATGATGGAATTGGGTGAAAGGAGAGAATTTAGGTAATTCCTGGCCAAAAAAATACAATCTGATAACTCCTCATCTTGACCTAAAGTAGAAATCTGCCAGTTCCTCATTCCTGCCCCATCTACCTCACTCCACGAGTCCCTGCTGAGAGTGAAAATAGAAGAGACCTCCACAAAGATTCAGGTTTTACATCTGCTCCCAATTTTTGTGCTTCTCCCCTGGGACCTGCTCAATTTTCCTTTGCTCTGCCAGTGCAGGTGGATCCCAAAGGCAGCCCAGTCTCAAGGGGGAGACTGGAGCACACCTGCTCTGCTGGAACAGATCTGCTGGCAAGGCTTTGGGACCTCTCCCTCTGAGGGTTTAGGAGCAGGGGAAATATTTGGCTGGCATGGAAAAGGGTGTTACTGTGATATTCAGCTGGTCAGGAGGGTGTTCTGCTTTTGGAAATAAGCTTCACCATCACTGGTGCTGCCCCAGCCCAGTGGGGCTTAGTCCTCACTTGTGCTGAACTGGGAAGGTGGAAGGAACTGGATCTCTACCCTATTTTTCCAAGTTATCCTGTCACCTTGCACCCAGCTTCATTCTTCCTTGATTCCTTAAGCAACTTCATCCTTCATTCACAACCCACCCTCCATTTAGCAGAAAAGTCCTGCTGCCCTAAACACTGAGTAGTCACACACTTCTTTTAAGGGTCAGGAATCTCAGATGGAGCAGCCAGTGATGAAATCTTCTGCAGGTGATGAAATCATCTGCCATTTGTGGGGTCCATGAGACCCCCACACAGCTGGGAGGGGATGAGAGCTCAGCCCCCTTTTCCTGGGAAGATCCATTTTAGCCTTGTTTTCTCCAGTTCTGCCGCATCTGAACCCGTGCAATGACAGCCAAGCCAGTAAATATTTCATTTAGCACCTAAATAATAAAAAGTGAAGGAGAGGGCCTTGATTGTTGCTGGCACAGTGGCTGAATGCCAGTGAGTCACTGTGGCTGCAAGTCAACATCACTTGCTCAAGGTCTAAATGTTGGTGGTCTTAAAATTGTGAGAGCTGTTCTGTCTTTACCACGCAAAACCAAACAAACTCACAAACAGAAAGGAATACAGCAAGAAGGAAAAACAAAGAATTTGTGCACAAGCTGTGCTGTAGAAGTGGATTGATCTCCAATACAGGCCTTGGAGAGATTTGCTCAGGGCACTTCACTTGGCATTGTTGAATGGATCTGCACTTCTGGGATTCTCAGAGTCTGTTTGTTCTCATTAATAGTCAAGGTTTGCTCCCTCCCTCCCTCCCTCCACTGACTCAGCCTCATTGTCCCACTGAATCACAGTCTCAAACTGCTGAAGCAGAAATTTTCCATAGGAGGAATTCTGCTATCAGTAATACCAATCAAGCTGAAGAAAAAGAAAACAATTTAAAACAATCCAAAGGATTAAAATACTTATTTTGAATCACATTTTTTCTTTGCTGTTGCTGATAATGCAGAAACTTATCTTGCTTTGTTCTGGATTTTCCCTTGTCACTGTGCTGTTAGAGCATCCTCTGAGGTAGAATAAGATTTCTTTGTAAAACTCCTGATTTGTTATTAAACAATGTGCTGGCAGTGGCCAGCAGTAACCTGAGTGGATTCCATCAGAATAAGTTTTATTTGTGCAATGGTTATCAGAGAAGAAGTAGGGGAAGAAAGGTGTTTGTTCTGGGAAGCATCCACATCCCTGCTGAGTTTTGAATCCAATAAAGGACAGTGCTGACAGGCAGCAGATTAAAAATGATATGTTCTTGCTGGATAAAGGCAGCACTAAAAACAACCAAACCTACAAACATTGTCATAACATCTTTTGTCACTGCTATGGTGACAGTGAAAGCAAATTGAAGTTATGAGGTGTCGAAATTCTGCTTTCCTGTAGCCCTTAAATTTAGCTCTTTCTATTTGCCCAGTGAAGCATCTGATAAGTTTTTTTCTCATAGGCCTAGGGCAGTGTTCCCATTCTTTTGTATGATTACACATAGATTTCCTAAATCCCACGTATTATTTCTCCCCAAAAGACTGGAACTTTTTTTTTTTCTCATACAATACAATCACTTATTTTATTCTTTTTCTCCCCCCTTACCATCTCCTATCTACTTTCCTTTATCCTCTCCTGTTTCAAGCTCCTTTGAACTACCCTGTTGCTCTTCAATCTGCTGCAGGCTTGGCAGGATTGCTGCTGCAGACCGCTGTTGGTAAGAATGGAAGAGTTTGATGAAATTATTTGTAGAAACCCATCAGGAGAAAGGCAGAGCATCAATACAGAGCAGTTTTCATAGAGCAAAGTGATGTGACACCTCTCAGAACCTACAGAATGAGGATATCTCAAGCAGGGAGGAGATCTGCACCATTAGTTCTGGTTTGCATTTAAAAGGATGAAGTTTTTGATGTGATCAGAACACAGCAGGCTCCACATCGAAGGCACAATCCTTTCTTCTTGTGGAGCAAGAGGAAGGAGCAAGTCCCAGGTCAGGACATCACCTCACAGAGTTCATGTCAGTGCTCCATGTCCCACATCACCTCCTGCCTTCCCACCCAGCCCAGCTCAGCCTGTTCCATCTGCCACTTCAATAGCAGAGCCTTCACTCATGATTCAGGCAATTTGAAACTTCCCCAAGTGTTGAAAACCACCCTAGGTCACGGGGTGGCTCCATGTGGTGGAAAAACTTCTCCTCCAAGCCGTGCTTCCAAAGAAAGGCTCAGCAGTCTCTTGGTTTTCTGTCTCAAGGCAGTTTATTGCAAGTTATCTAAAAGATTTTCTTCTGGGGCTGCTGTGGTTTGCTCACAGCTCAGGCAGAGACACACACACACCCTGACATCCTCTCTGACTCCCGACTGCTTCT